CTGATGGATAAGATGCCAACCTGACTGTGTCATTCTATTACTTACGATCCTTCAATAGCTCCCTATTAACCTAGAAAATAAAGTCCAAGGGTAGAGTATGAGATAAACTTCTCTATGACCTGGCCCCTACTTAACTTCGCAGCTACATTTTCAAAATTCTTCATCTTATAAATTGTGCCCTGAAATGAGCAAAGTGTGAGTTCCTCACCCACACACTTCTGTGAGTCCTATGCCCGTGACTTTGCTCATGCTGCCCCATCATCCCAGAGCTCCAGTCCCTCCATTCTGCCGGGTTCATTTCTGTTTGTCTTTGAGACCCACATTAGCTCCTCTACAGACCTTTCCTGAACCCCAGAATATATGAGTCCTTCTCCTCAACAGCCCCACTTCACTTGTGAGTGCCTCTTTCTACTAACCATCTTTTACTGAAATTATCTCTACGTATCTGTCTCCGCCACGAACTGTGTGGTCTCTAAGGTGGGAACTGCATCTGATTCATCTTTGTATCTTACTTAGCACAGTCCCTGGTATCCTGTAGGGTTTTAGGATTTATCTGTTGATCTAAATTCCATCAGAGTGTAGAGCTCTATGACGTTAGCTCATTCATTCCTTTATTTATTCCAGACATAGTTATTGCATGTTTCTTTTCTTTTCTTTCTTTCTTTTTTTTTTTTAATGCCAGGAACTCTACTAGGTTCTGGGGAGACACCTGCGAGCAGAAGAGGCCTTTGTCATCACAGAGTTAGCTCATATTTTAAATAGATGGAGACTGACCAAGGTCAAATACATGACCAAAGGCAACAAAACAAGGTAATGATTGAGGGCCAGTGTAAGGGTTTCTCCACTTCAGAAAATGAAAGGACTTTAGTGGAGCCAATCTCAGAATAAAGCTGGTTTTCCTCCTGATTGTGACTTGCTAATACAGGAGATGTGGAGATACTGACCATGCTAATATTTATAAGTATATGGTTATAATTGTATTCATAAACTGTTTATAAGGTATTACATAATCCTTCATAAAAATCCTTATAGCAATATACACGTCTGTATGGTTTTACTTTTGTGTATGTGATTTCATGTAAGAACATAATAAAGGTCCTAGTGTATCCATGTTAGGGAGGAAACAGACTCAAATAGGATCAGTGGTTTATTCCAGGCCATGGAGAAAGTGACAAAGCTGGTATTCCCAGATTTTCTGACTGTAAACCCAGTATTCTTTTCTTTATACAATGATACCTCTGTCAAAGCCTTTTTAATTCTGTTCTTCCTAGAGGAAGTTCCAACCCACTCCTCCTAGCCTTGCTGAGCCTTTCCAGATAATGCTTCTCTTGGATCAGATAGCTAGAAAGTTCCGGAAAGACTCAGCGGTTGCCACGTCAAGATGTTCTTTACTGATTCTAAGGAAGTCACATGGTTAATAGTGCCTAGAAGCATTTATCTAAATTATTAATTTTATAAACATGTTTATTTACAAGATTATGTATGTAAACAATCAATTTGCAAACATGTGATTTCACTCAGCAAATGTTTACTGAAAGCCCACAAAATGTTAGGAACCATTCTAGGAGTTAGAAACCCTCAAGACCAAAAATAAGACCCACACGTTGAAACACGGAAACATGAGGCGCGTGGGTGGCTCAGTCTGTTAGACATCTATCCTAGTCTTGGGTCATGATCTCGAGGACCTGGGATCGAGCCCCATGTCGAGCTCCCTGCTCAGCAGGGGTGACTGCTTCTCCCCCTCCTTCTGCCATGCCCCCTGCTTGGGTGCTCACTCTCTCTCTCTCTCTGTCAAATACATAAATAAAATTTAAAAAAAAAGGTGGAAACTCAACAAGGAGTAAGATGCTGAGCTGGTAGTGTTCAAGTGCACACAAATCTTGTGTTGATAACCAGGGTGTGTGGAGAACCACAATAGTCTGAGGACAATTTGGACAGCCTTTGTGGTGGCTTTTACAGCAGTAGGAAGCTAGGTCGTGTGCACCTAGGCGAGAGTCATAATCATTCTGCTCAACGTGGAGCCAGAACTTAACTTTTGAATAAAGTTACTGGGGTTCCAAAGATAAAGCCTATTTTGTACCACACACAAGGTTACCTGCGATCTGGAGGAGAAACTCTGAAGTCCTTTTCCCGTGCCCCCATTTTGAAGAAAATAATACATCAAAGTGCTCAGCTCAGCTCAAGGCAACACAGAGCCACAAACAGCAAGCAAATAACTGGACACTATTCTAAGGGTAAACAGTCAGAGTGGGCGTGTGGGACTTATCAAGGAGAGAAATCCCGACCTAGCTGGAAGCTTCCACCAATCACTATATTGTCAAAGACAAATACCAAGAACAAGAGAATTTCCCAGAAGTGCCCTACAAAAAGTGAACTGTAAGGACTAAGTAGAAGGAAAGAACATCCCAGGACTACACGAGACTCAAAGTGATCTGTTTAGGACACTCAGAGGAGAAAGCTTCCCAAATCCCTTAGAAACACCACACCATGGGTGCCTGGGTGGCTCAGTGGGTTAAGCCTCTGCCTTCGGCTCAAGTCATGATCTCAGGGTCCTGGGATCCAGCCCCACATCGGGCTCCATGCTCTGCAGGGAGCCTGCTTCCCCCTCTCTCTCTGCCTGCCTCTCTGCCTACTTGTGATCTCTCTCTCTGTGTCCAATAAATAAAAACACCGCACCATATGTAAGAGAGATGAGGGTATAAGTTAAGGAGGTTCTCATTCTCCTACCATTTCCCTCAGCATGCGCTGGACTTTGTTTTTTCTGACTTGATCTGAGTTTAAAGGCAGATTTATGCTGCTAGCTATGTATATATTTTTACTATTGTGAACTAATTATTTCTGTTATTGCCATCATTTTTCATAATTGCCTTTAATTTTTCAGCTGTTAAGTAATACTTTGTATCAGCTTTTGAAGCTTTCTGCTCTCTATACCTGGGCAGTGTGTGTGCGTGCGTGCGTGTGTGTGTGTGCACGCATGCGCATACAGATTTTATTTACTTTAGGTTTTGTGTGGATGGAGCCATCAGAGATACGTCTGTGTTTTTATGAGGTTTGTTTCGAGATGTTCAGGAACATCCTTCCTGGCTGATCATTTGAAGATGGGAAATTGCCCCTTTGTCTCAGAATACGTAATTGAGAGATGGTTCAATAAAACTTTGTGCAGGGGAAAATTAGTTCTAGAGGCCACCCCTAGATCCTGTCCGGGAGAAATCCTGTCCACACTCAGTGCTATTTTACTACTAAAAAAAAAAAAAAAAAAGCATGCGCCCTCCACAGCAATCGATGTTTCATTCATCCCTGAGCCACGTCCATGGTAGCAGAATGTGCGTATCTCTTTCTGACAAGAGTACAATTCCAGTGTGTGTGATTTAACACCGTTTAAGCATCTTTCAGGGTTCATTAGATGCTGAGCAGTTTATACCTTTATTCTATCCAAATGGGAATAAATCCCAGGGCAGAAGCCTCTCTGTCCACTGCGATCCGGTCAGGAACGACCACTAGCATCCCTGCAGCCAGCGGAAGGCTAGCTAACATCCAGCAGAAAGAGGAAAGCCCTTCTGGAGTTCACTTCCATAATATGTCCTTCAGATCAAGAGCAATGTGGAGCTGTAATTGGATTTTTCTCTCCTTTGTCATGTCTCTCCTTCTTGCCCCTTCCTCTCAACTCACACAAGGCCCAGCTCAAGTATCAATTCTTCTCTGAAACAGACTTCCCCTTAAAATATATCTGTTTTCTTTAATTCTACTCAGATAATTTAGTCCGTGGCACTGAACACACAGCGTCCTGAGCCGTACTTGTTCACCTCCAGATCTCATCTCCCTTCCTAGAGTATAAAGTCTTCAAGCACACAGACCACAGCTTGGAAAGAGCCGCTACGTTCAGTTGCAATACAAACACAGTGCCCGGCGATGAATCGATAAAGGCATCCATTCCAGAAATACTTATCGTGCACCTACTAGGTGCCAGGCATAACAGACCCAACTTCTGTCTTGACACGGTTCACAGTCGAGTGGCGTGAATGAGGGCATGTCCAATGCCATCCCATATGATAACCGATGTCCAACGAATTTCAAATAACCACAATCAGAATAAAACATGTGCCCTGAGAGGAGTCTCATAACATGTCACCAGGGATCTTTATCTCTAAGAAAGAACACTATTAGTCTCTCAAGGAATTTCCCCAGGGAAGGGGTAGAGATATCTCAGGCAATCAGGTTTAGCTTAGCTTAAACAAAAATGTGCAGTACACAGCTCTGATGTCACGGTATTCTGAAAGAATTCTCCAAACCAAGTCTGATTCTTTTTGCCTCAACAATTGACCTTAGAGAACTTACACTTGACTGAAGCTCCTCTGCTCTCAGACAGAGGTCTCAACACATCAGCTACAATAGTAATAAATGAGTAATGGCAAAGCCCCAATGCTTTCTCACAGCTGCTAGCTTTCAGGGGATAAAAAAAGAAAAAAGAAAAGGAAAAAAAAATCAGTCTTCTGGGCCTTAATGTTACATTCTGAAAATTTTCCTTCATCTCCAATAATGAGACTCTTGGGAACACCAAGCTTGACAAAGGTAAAATAATACATATGTTATGCTTTAGACAAGACACACAATCACAAGTTGAGCTACTTTTCGCCAGAGCTTCCCTACTTGCAAGTCAAGTATGAAATCAAACTTTACAAGGTGTAGTTCTTGCGCTATCAGCGCCCTTTCATCTCTGTTATTTTGTGTCATTTATAAAGCACCGCCACCTGTGAGATACAATTCCCTATTAGGCAGATGAGGAAACAGAACCACCAGCCACATAAGTGGCAAAACCAAGGTCATGCAACCAGCTTAAGTGGAAACCAAAAATCTAGGACCTCACTTCCAAGTCCAAAATCTTTTTTGCTACAACCTATGGTCTCAAAGAATGCTTTAGAGGATAGAGCCCTTCACTGAAACCAGAAATTCATTTTTTTCTTGGGACAGTCAACGAATTAAAGAGAGCATGTGACCTGTACCTCTTTAAGGCAGCCCATGAAGTTGTTGCTAACAGGTGAGCCTGGCAAGTCAGCGGTACTTGGGCTTCCTCCCACGTAGAAGAAGTCATCTGAACCCAGCATGGTGTAGTCCTCTTGAGTGTAGCCCGTCGTGGTAAGGATGCCATCCACAGAGATCGTCACCTAGTGGAGGGACATAGGGATAAAAAAAATCCCAACAATGACTTTACGGTCCTATCAAAATCTGGTGGCTTCCCCTACCTGTGGCATCACTTTCACTAAGATTTTTGGTGAGGAAGTCTTTCTAATTTGGTTTGATTTTGGTATGTGCAGCCAAGTTCCATTTTCTGGTCTGCCTTTCCTGCGACCCAAGCCTCCAGCATTCCTCTGCAGACTCCCAGGAGACTTCGGGGGAATTGTCAAGAACTTGCTCTACCCACTGCACTCTTTACTCAGTCAGGCTAGAAAATGGAACCATCCTCAGACGACATCACTTGTCTCAGTTCATTAGTAAAATGATTGTTTTTGGAATGATTGTTATTTATGGTGGTAGTGAGAAACAGCAAAGGAGACATTGGACAATGGGGTTTGTTAGGGTTGGTCTTTGGTGGTGGATGGTTTTTTTTTTTTCCTTTTTTCTTTTCTTTTTCTTTTCTTTTTTATCAGTTTCTTTGGGGGCTCACACCACACTGACAAACATGCATTCAGGGAGGGAGGGAGAAGGGTCTCATTTCTGATATGTCATGGATGGTACATGCCATGAACTACCCCAGGACTCCAACCCCTGCCCTCCCTTCCCTACCATCACCACCACCAAGAGAAGAAATGACCCAAACCAAAAAGGCAACTCTAACAAAAAGAAAGGAATATGAGGCATAATAACCAAAATAAAAATAATAATAATAATTCCCACAGGGATAAAATAGCACCCACACGCCCAACATCCATGAAAGGAGCAGAGGGCAGAGAGAAAAGATGGGGCCTCAAAGCGTGCACACACCATACGCTGACACACCCATGCGAAAATCAGAAGCCAAGAGAAAAGGCGGAAGAGAAAGGGCAGGGAAATGGGCAGAGGTGAGGAAAACCAAAGGGAAGAATCAAAATCCACTTCACACTTAACATGCGCTGAACAAAGTGGAACACAAGATGGAAGTAAAAACAACCAAAAAATAAAAAAAAATTAAAAAAAAACACTCAAAACTAACTAAAGGGTTCTCTCTCCCCTGCCTGCCACCTCCCTCACTAAAAAAGAAAAAAAAAAGGAAAAGAAAAAGAAAAGAATCATCCAAACCCAACCCCAAAATATATGAAGGATGAGAGGAGAATGAAAAAGAGTGGAGACAAAAATGGAGAGAGAGGAAGAGCGTGGAACTGGGGTGATGATTGACAGGTTGTTAGTAATGAGGAGGAAAATGGGGAACACGCTCTGATGCCCATGGGGAAATTCACAAGACAGGAACATGCCATGCAGAGTCTGTACAGAGAACACACTGGCCGAGCTCCCTTTAGCCACGGTGGGGAGTAAGGTAAAAGCCGGGAAAGGCAGAATAGAGGAAGTCGAGTACTTTCCTCCCCAGATCACCTGTGGCAGCCATGGCCACACCAAAGGGAAAGAAAAATGGGCTTCAGGAGTGGGGAGGAGGGAAGAGCGAGTAGGAAGAGTGAGAGGGGACAGGGGGACATAGAGAGAAGAAAGTCGTCAATAGAAATCCTGTTGTCCCTAGTCTGTAACTTGGAAGTTGCAAAAGAAGGAAACAAAACAAAACAAATTTAGCTAAACGGGGAATCTTTCTTTAAAAAGACATTGGGGGGGAGGTAAAAAAAAAAAGAGAGAGACAAACTGGAGAAAAGGAAACTGACCCAACCAAACTCCTCCAAATACCATTTCCAGGACAGGCACGTTACCCTTCCATTTTTATTTTTTCTCTTTTAACAAAAAAGAAAGGCTTGCATTTAATCCAACAAAAAAAATTTTAAAAGAAGAAGAAATGAGTCTAAGGAGGATAAAAGGGGGGTTTGGGAAGGAAAAGGGGGGCAACACACGGCAAACCCAAAAAAAGAGACAATAAGAATGATATCTACCAGACAATGTAGTTTGTTTACCATAGCGTGTCCGATGCCTGAGTGCTTTGCAGAAAAGGGGGAAGAAAGGAAATTAAAAATTGTGAACAGAACGATTGTTAATTAAAAAAACTAAAAACAAAGATGAGTCGTTAGGGTGTTAGTACATTAGTCGGTTAGTAAAATGACACATTGCATGAATGATCTTGTGTTAGTTTTTCAAAAAAAAGGCACCCGACACAGAAAAAGAGAGTGGGGAAGACAATGAGACCAGGACTCTATGGAAAACCTTGGCAGCCAGGGCAGAGCCAGGGAAGGAGCCGCAATCTGCCCTGTCACTGACCTCCCCCTTCTTCCAGGACCGCTCAGACTGGACCTCACCCCAGTTAGAGTTAGCGTCATACTTACTTTCCAAGGGCTCTTCTGAATGAACACCACTTTCCCTTCCCACCCTCTAGCACATACACAGCCCACCTATCCTGAAAGAAAACACCCCTAAAGTTTATCATTTCACATGTAGACAGAGCTAAAATATCAATATTCTGGGGACTTTTTTTTTCAATATCTGACTCTGACTACATGCATCGATGATTATGATCTTCAATAGAACAACCACCACCACAACAAATGTAAAGCATGTGCAGGTTGCCTCTAGCATCGGAAGGTGACATGATGTAGCTCATTCTGGGTTTCCACGGGTGATTAAAGATCCATGACTCCCTTGATTTTGTGTGGATGTGTGCGGCAGGAGGGGGACACTCTCCTCTTTGCTTTCCTCTTGGTCGACAATAACTGTGTTGTCCGCATGCATCAAAATAGTTGGAAGTCTTCTTACTTCCCATGTAGTTATTATTTTGTTTTCTTCGCCAGAATGCTGCCCGTTGGAATCGCTCTCTCCCCATTCCCCTTTAGCAAGTGTCTTTTAAGCTTTTAAGCAATTTCTTGTATGTGTAATAGAGAAGACTGGCAGATTAAACATGATTAAAGAAGTCCTGCGATTTGTCTCCTCTGATTATTTTCAAATGCTAAATGACCAACACACCCTGAGCTGGGAGGCTGGGAGGCTGGAAGACTGGTAACCCCAGTTTTGTGTTTGTGGTTTCACTAAAGTGGCATTAGAGGTAAAGCAATTCACATGAGGGCCATGCTCAAGGTCACGGGTTTTAAAACAAGACCAAAAACAAACCCAGAGAAACGCATCACTACCTTGGTCCTTTATCCCAGGGACAGTTTGGAACAGATAGTTCACACTCCTTCCTTTAATCAGAACCACCGGGAAAGTAGCTAGCCTTGGTCCTGACTTGTCTCAAAGGTAGAACCAAGACTAGATGACCAAGAAGGAAGGAATGGGCCAAGTTCTGCTTTATTTAGTAATGAATACTCCAGGAAACTCCAAGTAAGCATTCTCAGATGAGTTTTTGCCACTGAAACCATTTGACCTTACCAAAAAAGTAGATGAGAAAGTCATAAGCTCATTATCAAATATTTATGAAGCAATTTACAGTTTAATTGAAATAGACAGGGGCTTCCAACCCCTTCAAATGTCTCCTACAGATCTAAAGAAGATGTTATAAATGTATTTTTAATGGCCAAAATAATAATCTTGGGTGATTCAGCACAGAAAGGATTACATTTGCAAAATCAACTCTGCTTTTCAGAGATTTCCTTCTCTTTCAATAAACTGCATTTGGATGCAAAAGTCAGTGGGGATTTCAATGAAGACCCATTTTAGGGACACTTTCTCTATGAGATTCATATTCCCTCTGCCAAGAAATGTCCCCCAACACGCTTGGGCCTCTGTTGCCTTGTCCAGAATGGAGAGCTTTGCTTAGCAGCATCGTTGGTAACAGACACAGTCACCTTCACAACAGAATACTCAGCTTATAAATCGTGCGCATGTCACAGTGAGTCTAGCACCCAGACCATGGAGGAGCTCATAATCCTTCTGGAACATAAGGTGCTTTGCATATTTAGCCACCACACATGGCTAGGGAGGATTGTAATCACCATTTCACAAATGAAACTGTGGTGTGGCAAGGTTAAATGATTTGTCCAAGGACACTGAGGGAGCTGGGTCTTAGAACTTGGAAGAGAAACCCTCCCAGGGTGGCCCTCCTCTGCTTGCTCTGACCAAAACAGCACACCCAATGTTTGAAGAATGGTTTTGTTTATCCCCCACCCAGTTTAAAGGATGGAACTGGGGTTTCGTTTATCCCCCACCCAGTTTAAAAGATGGAACTGGGGCCCAATTCTATTTTAGAAAAGTATTTTAGTAGAAATAAAAGTGAGCCTTTCTCCAGCTAATTGGAATTGTTCTAGAAAGGCAAGAAAGTGTACACAGTGGGAGAGAAGCAGAGAAACAGACTGGTTGGTGAGCATCACAGCCTGACCCTGCTCCCCCCTCCACTGACTAAAGCCTAAAGAGCAGTACTGTGCACCTGCCAGTCAAAACTGGCAAAAGGTCATATTCTCCTTTTGGGTCTAGTCTCTGCAACTCAAACACACCGCGCCCTTACATGTTAGCAAATGGAAATTCGACTTGGGCCCTCTTGACCACTGAGCTGAGCTGAGTAAGTGTGGATGGGGGATTATTAAAGAAAACATTAGCAATTGGATCATTTGGCCTTGGAGGAAAAACAGAATAATGATTCAAAACTGTCCAGTCCATGGGTATTAAGATGACTGGAGGCTCCAAGACTTGTGTGATTTGATAACATCACCACAGATAGAAGAGAATCTCCCAACCAGGCAGCTTCCTCAGCATACTTAAGCATTACAATGGGTGCTTTGAATATTGTGTGTTCCTAGTGCCTTGTGAAACTTCTCTGTTCACTTAGCAATGCTAAGGGGTCGCCCTTCTATGAAACAAAAAACATATGCAAATACCTGTCCATTCTTCCACTCTCACATTTACATTAGAAAGCATTAAATCAATCATATTGCAGAAGAAAATCTGATAAGCAGTCTCTGGAAATCTGCATAATGTTTTCTGATTAATAAAGGATGAACCCTGTCTAACTGGGTTTAATGACAAAAATCACAAAGAGAAAAACCAACTGCAAATAGCAACCCGGAAAGTGGCATCAGCACCGACCTTGACTTTTATAGAAAATGCTTTTCTTCTTCATTGATGTGGGCTGGTACGGTGTTACTATTATTACTGTTGTGACTATTACTATTCATTATGAGACTGAAAACAATGTCACTTGGCTAAGGCTTTCTGAGAGCGTTGTCACCTGACGTAGTTGCCTGCTTAGAATCGGCAAGCGATGGGAGTTCTCATGTCCGAACAGAACCAGGAAAGGCTGCTCCAAAGTTGACTTTTTTATTTGGGTCCTTCCACTTTCCAGGCCTCTCAGTCAAATGAAGAGCCTTAGAGATAGAGACCGGGGCAATAAAGTAGGACCACCGCACCAAGAAACAGAGAAACAGAGGAATTCAGAAAGATTCCTGCTAATTCTACAGGTTATCATAACAACAGGGAAAAAAAAAAATGAAAGCAGGGGAGGGGTGGTAAATTAAAAGGACGAGAAAAAGGAAGACTCTTTCCTGGAAGGAATTAAAATCATGACATCATGGCAATGGCTAACTTAATGAAAAAGAAAAACATATATTCAAAAAATGAGGAAAATCTAGCAAACTACAGAAATAAAACAACATCCCTAATTGAATCTGACAATAATACAAGATTCAAACGTAATTAAGAAAATGGTAAGAAGGAAAGCAGAATAAAAGGAAAGTATTTATAACTTTTATTATCTACACAACTGAATTTTTTTCTGAAAAGAAAAAATCAAGCATAAGTGGAGAACTGAAGGAGGAGAAGAAACATATTTTTATAATTTTTCCTTGTGAAACTGCAAAGACCAGGGAGAATGTTAGGCTTCAACAAATCCAGAGCTCTATCTCTCCAGCTCGTCCAGCACCTGCTTCACAAACCTCCGCCCCAGCTGCCCTAAAGCAGCCTCCGGGCACGCTCTCCCCACAGCCATTACCTGCCGGAGGTTACGCGTGACTTTGACATCATGCCAGGCGTTGTCGTTGAATTTTCCATTCACTGGCTCCACGATGGCCTCAAAGGCCCCGGACCCCAGGTTAATGACCAAGGAGACCGCGCCATCCTTCAGAGCCAGGTTGACATAGTCGGCCGACTTGCCCGTGTGCAGGATGAGCCCATTCCGTTGCCAGGTCTTAAAGGAGAGGGTGATTTCATCACTGCTGCTCTGGATCGGGTTCTGAGACAGGTCGTAGCACAGGTACTCGGAGCCTCGGAAAGTAGCCACGTTCTCCTCCCGGGCTGCGTGAAAAGGAAAGAGGAAAGCAGTCACCACTTGACTGGCACGAGTCATGTGCGTACAAATACCAAGGAGAACACGGTCCCCCTGGTCAGTGCCTCCCTGCCAGGGAGTGGCTGTCCACACTCCAACTCTTCTACCAGACTTGTGTGTCTAAGCACCAGGTAAACCAGGAGGGAGAGCAACTGCCAAGAAGCCATCTACTCTCACAAGGGTGGAAGACCAACGCAACGGTGTAGAAGAGCTTGCTGCATTTCCTTCCCGTTTTCCCCAAGAAAAACCCAAAGAAATTTTATGCAAAATGGTAGAGTGAAGTTGACGTTGCTTTTGCTTCAATGATGGCTTTTAAATGCTGTCGAGAGCTGGTGTAGAATGGATAATTAACTGTTCTGACAAAGGGTTCTTCAGCTCTACATACCCTTTTATTGACCAATAACTAAAAATCAATTACCCTGAAAGATCTGGCTCTAATTTCCATCCATCCACAACCCAGCTAACTTTGGTCCTGAGCCCAGTGGAATGATGAGGGAAAGGGGAGAGAACGGAATTTGGTGATACACTTTGACAAGACAGCAATCACTCCCTTTCGATTCAAAGGGACCTCTGCTCTGAGGTCTCCTAATTTAGATGTCCCTGGTCAGCATCCTAAAGAACACCTAGGGTCAAGAAAGCTTTCTACCAGAGTATATATTCTCTTCCAAGGCCGTACCCTGGGATCCTCTAATTTCCTACCCAAGGAACCCCAGGCCTGTTTGCAGGGCTTCTGCAAGGTTCTGCCCAGACTCATTTTCCAACAGGATAGCAAGCCGTTAGTGTGCATACCTCGAGGTCTGAGCACTAGCAATGGTGGAACCATTTGCAGGGAGTTAGACAGAGCTGGCCACGTGGGCATCCACGTGCATTTATACCAAACTCCTTGTGGATACAGAATGGAGGGAGAGGTGGAAAGAGGAAGGGGTCAGGCCGCAGGCTGACAGCCAGAGGGCCTGGTTCTCCTTGTGCTAGTGTTCTCCAGTGCAGAACACTGAGGAATCCAAAAATTCTAAGTGTGTACTGGCTTACTAGGTAGTGTCCAAGGTATATTCATCAAAGGAATGACGTGTTTTGTGTAATTATTTGTTGACATAATTTATAATTTCAAAACTCAGCATATGGACTTTCATTTGTCCCTCTGACAGGCAGCCTGACTGAGAGTGGCCTACTACATGAACATCAGGGTTGGCCAAAAGCTAGTGAATCACCTCATCATGAAAGGAAGTGGGCAACAGAACAAGGTTGGGTAGGCAGCTTCCCATTACTGAGTGGGGGCTACAAAATAAGGTTGAGCAAGTTCTATTTTCTCCTCTAGAACTACACTTCAGCCTTAGTAACCAAAGTCAATTCCACCTCAACTTAGATCCTATCAACCATCACAGCCCTAGGTAAGTCACTTAAGTAAAATAAACATATTCTCATGATTAAGTAAGAACAGGAGAGGAATCACTCATCATTTGGGAGAGATGACCACCCACTACAGACTATATTAAACCAATTATAGCATCATGATAGCCTTAAAACATGAACCTCAACTTCGTATTCCAGAGATGTAAAGATCAGGCTTATCCTGTGTATTCCAGAGTGTCTCAATGACAGGTGTCTCCCTGCATATTTCTGTTTGTGTGCATGCCTGTGCATACACACACATACACACATAAATACACACACTGGTATAAGCAAAAGGGTCCTGTCCACATATAAATGACCACTGTGTCGTGTGTGTGTATGTATGTGTGTCTGTATATATATATAGCAAGTACTACTTGGCCCACAACCTATTTCTGATGCTTTTTACCAAAATAGCCAAAAAAACAAAATCATGGAGCAGCAATTTGATACCATCTCAATGTTTGAAACAGATCTATCCAATCCCCTAGTGCCCTGTCTGTTGTCATGATTTCTCATTTCTGAAGAAATGGCTTTGTGAAAATGCAACTGGATGAGCCTCTGTTCAGTAGACCAGGAGGTGAGCTTGACATAGAGTAAAAGACGGCAAATCCAACAGAGTTATCACCTTTAAACTCTTCTCCTATGGATGAAAATGCGCACAGAGCCAACTACCATGCCTGTCCTCAGTGCCTACAGTAACGTGCTATAGTAACAGGTGTCTTCTGTAAACATTTAAGTTAGACCTTATGTGCCCAATGAACTGAGAAAAATGAACAAGGAAATGAGTGCCTCTAAAGAGATGCTTGAATTAATCATGGAGTACCCTTCAAAAGGGAAAGGTTGCACATAGAACAGTAAGGCCCCAAGATCCCATTTGACGTGCTATATGGTGCCTAATATTTGTCATGTAATTAAATCAAGGAGTATACAAAAATAATAAGCTTTGGAGTTTATAAGGGATTTTAGAGCCTATCTGATTTAATGCCCCCCCCCCCTTAACAAGGATGAAACTGACAACTAAAAATAAATGTTGCCCAAGATCACACAGCTGGTGTTACTCTGGACTTCCACTGCCTATCTGGACTTCCCTCTCAGTATTCTTTCACCCATCACTTTGGATGTACCAATGTTCCTACTTTACTATAGGGCACAAATGATTCCACAGAGCTATGCATTAACTTACAAACCATCCCCAACCCTGGATAAACTGAGCCAGAAATTTATCTCCCCGCTCCCCACCCTACATATATCACTTACTCACCAAAATAATGTTCCCCTTTCCTCCCTGGATGCTGGGTGTGTTTAAAGCAATAGAATTTGTTTTATGTGGAGGCCACACAAGAAAAATGACATCATTGTAGAGAAGAGAATATCAATAAATAAACAAGAAATAAAACCAACGTGAGAAATCGTCTATGTAAATCAGATGCATATTTATGCTAATCCCCATGCAAATTTACCAACAAAGATTTTATGTAGCTGAGCATGTCCCTTTGCAAGTAATCTAAGGAAAATGCTGTAACCATACACAACCTTCCCTATCTCTTCATTCAATGATGAATTTTCCTGGTTTGCCTCTTCCCTAGGCTGGCTACCAAGAGCAGCATCACCCCAGATGGTCTTATCTCCTCCACATGTCAACATGTAAGAGACACCTGAAAGCTACTCTCTGAGTCATATTCTAGATAAGCCAAATTGTAACATTTTTAATGCATGGGACACCTTCCTCCTGACTGTGTGGAGAGGAGATGCAGTGACAGTGCATGACCCGGTCTTCAAAAGAGCAAATGAGGGGCATGGAAGAAGAAGGAGTGAGAACCTTGAAGAAAGCATTCCTTTGCATATTCTCACAACTGATTTCTCCTAAGATCCCAGCCTGTCTTAATTTCCTTCCAGGAGCCAAAGTGTAAGCACTGTCTTGTCACCTTGAAAACCATACTCAATTGACAATAAACATAACTGAAAGGCACAAAACTAAACAGCGACACACACATTTCTAAGCTCATTCAATTCTCCAAACTGTCCATTAGAAAAATGTAATATTGCCCCAAATTTGTTTCCTTTATTTAGTGTTTACACTGAGAAAGAGGTCGAAGAGACAACGCAGTCACCTTGTATGTATTCAGGCTAAACTGGTAGAGACAATGGACACAGGGGATTATGTAACAGAGTACACAACAGCTTAGCAGAAATCCCCAGCTTGGTAAGAGGGCACGCACGGGCATGGCTGATGGACTGTTTAGATCCCCTTAAATTATATCACCCCAAAGTTTACAATCAATTGCATAAGTGTTAAAATAAAAATGTTATTCTTGCTGCATGGAAAGCAAAGCACCAACCATATGACAACAAATCATCTCCCCATTATTTGTAAGTTATTTGTAAGTCCATTATTTGTAAGTCCAACTGATTAAACACGAGATGCAATCTAGATATGTATAACCCAAGATTTTAAATCAGTTTGTATAAGATATGTAAAGTACTGATCTTTCAAAGGGCTTGTTAATCCAAGTACTATATATAAATAGCATTCACAAGCATTTATTCAACTCTATTTTCCACTCTCTCCCCTCAAAAAAAATCCAGCTAGTGATTTATATAATAATATCTCCATTTCTCTGAGAAATTGCAAAGCAGATTAAAATATTCAGTGTAATATGTTTTTACCATGCAATCTAAGAAGTGTGGAGAAATGCATATCACTGTTTAATTGGGTCTGTTGTTTCTGAGAGCGTGATGTCTCGGGCTTTGAGATCAAGAAATTATTATTCTGAAGGTTATGAGGAGCCACTGTACAATTTCACTGAAAGGATGGATGGGGTCTGATTTGTATTTTTAAAAAATCACATAATCTTCTAAAAAAAATTTTGCAACTCAACTAATGTTGGGTTGAGAGTGAACTGAAAAGAAGAGCGAACTAAAGGCAGAGAGCCCCATTAAAAGATGAGAACATAGCACCTGAGTGGCTCAGCCAGTTAAGCATCTGACTCTTGATTTTGGCTCAGGTTATGATCTCTGGGGCGTGAGATAGAGCCCTACATCAGGCTCCATACTCAGCTCTGAGTCTGCTTGTCCCTCTCCCTCTGCCCTTCCCCCTGCTCCTGCTCTCTCTCTCACTTGCTCACAATGAATAAATAAGATTAAAAAAGAAAAGGTTGAGAACACATTTGAACTACTTTCCTGGGGGTGCCCAGACTGGTTCAACCTGGATGTTGATACCCTTCCCAAGGAAGGTTTGCCTTTTGCTGGACAATAATGGAAGCAAACGGTTCTTAGGAGAGACAACACAGGAAACCGAGAGACCGAGGTCCTGGCAAACCACAGACCACAGGAGGAAGCCAGAGTCTGCATACTTATGATCCAAATGCAGCCATGGAAAACCAAGGACCAGAGGTAAAGGCTGAGGGACAATGATAGAATGTTAGACATGAAAGGCCTCAAGGGAGAACATGTCAGGTGTGGGTAAAGGAGGATTTTATGTCCATTTGCAAATACAGTGCAGTTTCTTAAATGCCATATATTTCCAAATGCTTTCTTAGTTGTTATTTGTGTCTCTCAACGCTCCGTAAGGCCACTT